TATATATAAAACGCTCCCACTCTATATAGTGAGAGAGTAGTGACACACCAGAGAGGACATGATCGCTCTAAGGAGTTTTTAAGCGAACCCGGAAGTATACAGAACTGAAACCTCTTGGTGCACCGGGGCATTTCCTCTTCGGTGTAGCACAGCGGAGTTGAGAAGAGGTTTGTTTAGCAAGCTTTATTTGCTAAACATTTATGAGTTGATTTCGAGTTTGTCCAGATGCCAAATAAAACCGTGAAACGCCCAGGAGTTGGGGTCGGGGTGCTGGTAACGGACCCATTCCATCCCGGATGTGTTCTCCTGGGAAAACGTAGGAGTGTAATGGGAAAAGGGACGTACCAGCTTCCCGGTGGTCACTTGGAGTTTGGGTAGGTAAATGGTAAACTAAACCATAAATATGACCCTGTTTACTAGTATATATATGTGACGTATGGCCTATTGTGAATGTTGCTTTATTCATATTAGTAAGCAAATTTCTTCTTGTAACAAAACACACGATTCTTTTCAAGATGTTTTCTTGTTATTATAATGTAAATTACAGTGAAATAAGTACTTTTGGATCAGTTGTTATTATGCCGAATTCTCCCGAAATGCTTAATAAATATTGATACATATTCTCAATTTGCATCGTTACAACTGCCTGTCATCTACGTGCGCGCACATACTAATTCGTAATATTTTTAAATGCAATTTGGTTTATGGTAGTGAAGCCTGGTAATACATTCGAGATTCTTTAAGATCCACTAAAGACAGGTACTTGGAAGGAAAGGTCATTTGAGAAGTGGAGGGAAAGTAATGTAACTACGTTCCTCAGTTTACAGTAGGCTACATCTATCTTTCCATGTCATGTGAAATGGTGAGAGAAAGACCTGATGTGACACTTTCACTCTGTTCCTGAAAGAGAGACGTGGGAGGAGTGTGCTCATAGAGAGGTGCTGGAGGAAGCAGGGGTGCGTTTGGTGAACGTCTGCTTTGCGTCAGTAGTGAACTCCATCAGACAGGAGGAGCAGTACCACTACGTCACCATTATCATGCAAGGGGAATTGGACAGAAAGCAGTCAGGAGAGCCAGAGAACCTGGAGCCAGAAAAGAATGAAGGTACAGTATGTTAAGTGGAGCTACTCTTAAGTTTTAAATGGGGGAAATAATCATTTCTCTCCCTCTAAGCATCTGTGGTTCTGTCCCTCCCAGGCTGGACATGGACACACTGGGACCAGTTTCCTCCTGAGGAGCAGCTGTTCTTGCCTTTGGCTGGTCTGAGACAACAAGGCTTCCATCCATTCAGAAACACAGAGACAAACACTGAAACTCAGCCCTGAAGTTGCCTGTTACACAGAGAGAAGCTTCTTTCTTTCCTCACAGGAAGTTATATGATACCTCTTCCCTTTCTTGCTTTTCAGGAGTCATGTTTTTCTGTTACACCACATGCTGTAATTGAATGTCTTTTCTATTTTTGGAATGAATGACTAAAAGACTAGTATACTGTGATTTTATTTAGATTTTAAGCATAAGAGTGTAAATAAAATGGACGACGCAAACACAGTTTAAAAGACACATGAACACAAAAAATATAATTTATTTGAATTTTTTATTCTGTATGGCAACATTATTCATGCTCTTTAGTCCCAGGTAATATTTAGTGATGAAAATAAATAGTCTAATGCACTGGACATTAGACTACCACTGTAATATGACAGATATGGAAGAACATT